TTGGACCTCGTTCCCATTGGAGCTTTTGATCAGCACATTAAGAACAACAATATTCTGAAGTTTCAATGAATTTGACCGGGATCCAATTTCCATAAGAATGATGCGGGGTCCTTTACTTTAGATAATTAGGAAATCAAATAAGACGATGCTTAACTACCTACGTTGCTATTTATCATTTTTTATTGATTGCTAAATGTGTAACAATAAATTCAATATCAATACCTAATATTTTGGAGAGATTCCAAAACACTATACAACGCTACTGTTTTGTGTGTTGCAAAAAGTTTGTTATTTTTCTACCACTAAAAACAAATTTTAATAAAAAAAAGTATGGTATTCAATTATGCAAATATTGAATTAGCAGATATACATTTTACATACGGTAAAGCGCATGGCAATGCTAGACAAGTTGAACGGCTTTATAGATAGACTTTTCCAAATCGACGTGGTCCAACAAGGAATACTTTTTCAAGCATTCACCGTCGAGCTCGTGAAACTGCATGTTTGTCGCTACCAAAACGTCTGTTCATACAGCTGAATTTTGGAATCCGTAGATGAAGACCCGTCTACCAGTACCAGACAGATATCAACAGATTTGGATGTATCACATGTAACAATCTGGAACATCTTACGTGAGCAGCAATTACGCCCATACATGTTCAGCGAGTTCATGCATTGAATGAAATTGACTATATACCGAGGATTGAATTTTGCCAGTAATTTTTACAACAATGCGAACAGCCTGATTTTCAGTTATTAATATTATTTACCGATGAAGCGAAATTTAAAGAGAAACCAATTCGGATTGTCATAATAACCACCAATGGGCGGATGAAAATCCGCATATTATGTCCCAACATCGATTCCAAGAACAGTTTTCTCTGAATGTTTGGAGAGGCATTGTGGTCGATTACTTGATTGGTCCCTACTTTTTACCCAGAACCCTCGATAGTAGAACTTATCAAAGGTTCCTACAAGAAGAATTACCACCACTTCTAGAGGAAGTGCCATTGAGGTTACGTCAATTATTGTGATTTACGCACGATGGGACGCCACATCATTACAGCCTTACCGTCAGACAGTTACTAAATAATCAGTATCCTAATCACTGGATTGACAGAGGAGGACCCATTGCTTGGCCGGCTCGTTTCTCCGACTTGAATCCCTTGGATTACTTTTTTTGGGGCTACCTCAAAACTATTGTATATCGTACTTCAGCTCCCAATGTAGAAGTACTTCGACAGTGCATTGTAGAGGGTTTCGCAACCATACGGCAGGAATTATGAGGCGTGTAAGACGATCAATGCGGAGACGCTGCGCAACATGCATTGCATCCCAAGGACAGCATTTTGAACATTTCTTGTGATGTATAGTGTTTTGAAATCTCTCAGAAATATTAGGAATTTATTGTTACACATTTAGCAATCAATAGAAAATGGTAAACAAAAAGAAAAAAAACTAAAACTACAGAAAAACAACCTTTTTAAAGACAGCTACCTTGACGCGGTAAAAGGGCTTAAGTCTTATATAAATAAACAACGAAATGCAGTCCATTTTAGTACAGTAGGTATACAGATTTTGATTCTGAATTTTTAGCTGAAATTGTTCATATTTTTATAATTTATCGAATGAAATTTTATCTATCTATCCACTTATTTTTTATGGATTTCAGAATAAGTTTCAAGGGTTTGAGGTTAGGTTTTTATGGACATAGCATAGGTTTGAGGCTTCAGAAATACAAAATATTAGCTTCAGAATAGAGTTTTTAAGGAGTCACATTCTTTGTTTTGGAAAATATCCTTCGTTTGACTTTCTAGCTCAAATTTCTCGAATTTGTGGTTAGATAGTTAAGAATAGAGGTTAGGGCATCAAAAATAAAAAAATATAAGGTTCATAAAATAGTTTTTCAGAACTTTTATTCTTTGGTGTGGAACAACAACTAGATCAAGTTTTTAGAATTTGAAGTTGGGTTTTGAGGGTTTGGGAATAGGTTTTGAAGGGTTTGAAATTAGGTTTTAATGGGTGTAGGTTGATGGGTTTAGAGTTAAGAAATATAAGCTTAAAAATATAGTTTTCATGTAATTATACACATAGAATTAGAAAAGAGTCAGTGTATTACTTTGAGGTTAGGTTTGATGTTTTTGAGTTCAGGTTTAAGGTTGAAAAGTATTGTGAAGCCACATGATTATTTTCGTTATTTAATCAACCTCAAATACGAAATTTTTTATTTTTTTATTTTTAAATACCTACCGAATTATTATCTTTGGTTGGCTGATGAGTTCCCACTCGATTGAAAAAATTGCTATACAGGGTGTTTGGTAAGTCGATGCATTTCTTGCAGGAAGTTATAGTACAAACGATTTGTGATATATTTCCTTAATATACCATATTCCGAAAAAGCTTAGTTTCCGATCTACAAGGTGTTAATAAAAAAATGCAAATTTATAAATATTGCGGAAACCGCTCAGAATATTTTAATAAAATTTTACAAGCTTTGACAGCTAACAACAATACATGTTTTACGATAAAAATATTGTTTTCAGTTTCACCACTGGCGTGCGCACAGGCATGTCTCTAGATATTGTTAAAGAAAAAAATGATACAGCACTGATTTTTCTCAAAATAAAAAATATTTTTCAAATCCTTGTTCAATTTGGAAGAGAAATGGTATCTTGACTTTTTTTCTTATGATACACCGTTTTCGAGTAAAAAAATAAAATCGATTTATTGCATGGCATAATTCGGTTTCAATAATTTGGAAAATAGCAGAAATTATGCATTTAACTGCTTCACACTCAAACACTCAAAGTAACAGCTATTATAAATTTTGTCAAACAATAACAAAAACGAGTGCACAGCCAACTTGCTAATTTCTGTTTAGATAGTGAATAGTGAATCTGAAAACTGATAAAAAATTTTTAGACTGCGAGGAATATTAATTTTTTGTAATAAAATTGGTACAGAAAAAAGCTGAGTGCACAATTTCTGCTATTTTTCAAATTATTGAAACCGGATTACGCCATGCAATAAATTGATTTTATTTTATTTTTTACTCGAAAACGGTGCGTCATAAGAAAAACAGTCGAGATAGATACCTTTTCTCTTCCAAATTGAACAAGGAATTATTTTAAAAATGTCAGTAGCGTATCATTTTTTCTTTAAAAATATCCAAAGACGCCACTGGTGAAACTAAAAACAATATTTTTATCGTAAAACATGTATTGTTGTTAATTGTCAAAGCTTGTAAAATTTCATTAAAATATTCTGAACGGTTTCCGCAATCTTTATAAATTTGCTTTTTTTTTGTTAAAACCTGTACACCCTGTAGTTCAGAAACTAAGCGTTTTCGGAATATGGTATATTAAGGAAATATATCACAAATCGCTTGCACTATAACCTCCTTCAAGAAATGCATCGACTTACCAAACACCCTGTATAGATATATCAAATTATCGCACCAGGATCATAAAATTGAGTATATTACTTCTTTTAAAAAAATAAAATTTTTCACAAGTGATTCCGTGTTTGGGGGTTGCAACTCTTATTTTTTATTTCAGGAAAACTAAGTATATTTTCAAACATTTTTTATATATAAAAAATTCATATTGATTCAAAATATTAAAAATATGGTTTGACAAAAATAATTTCTGATTTTAGGGGACGAACAACCCCCTAGTAATCCCCTAGTGTGCGAAAAATGTCTTTACTTTTTCTTTAATCATACGAATAATTTTTTCTCTTGGTCTAAAACGGATTTAAACAGATGCAAACTACCCCTGATGTTCACCCTCAAAAACAGTATGTCCGTGATATCTCGGGTTCTAATAAATATTTTGGAATGAAACAAAATGGAAATTACCGAACCCGTTTTTGGGGGATGAGCATCAGATTAAATCCGTTTTAGACCAACAAAAAAAAATATTTGTGAAATATCTTTTTTTTTATAAGAAGTAATTTCCATTTCTTTTCATTCCAAAATATTGATTAGAACCCGAGATGTCACAGAAATACTGTTTTTGGGGGTGAACATGAGGGGTAGTTTGCATCCGTTGAAGTCCGTTTGGGGCTAATAGAACAAATTATTCGTATGATTAGAGAAAAAGTAAAAACCTTTTATTTTGTAATGTTAATTCTAATCGTATAGACATTTTTCGCTCACTAGGGGGTTGTTCGAGAACTTAATTTTGCCAATTTGTTTACATAAGTTATATCTTTAATTTTTTTTAATATGAATTTTTTATATATAAATAATGCTTGAAAAATATAGTTTTTTTGAAATAAAAAATAAGGGTAGCAACCCCCAAACACGAAATCGCTAATGAAACATCTGTTTTTTATAAGAAGTAATTTTGTATGTTGTTTTATTTCAAAATATTGATTAGAACCCCAGATATTTAGAAAAAAAACTGTTTTTAGGGGCGAACTTTGAGAATGTATTTCACCCACATATTATTTGATAATAATAATGCAGAATTATTATAAGTACCCGACTCAAAAGACAAAAACACATACAACTAAAAGAGTTATTTTAGGTTATGAAACATGAAACAAATACAACGTAGAGCGCAAATAACAGGTACCTACGTACAACATAAAATAGCGGCCGTTTACGGCATGTTATTTACAAACGTTATTTTTCTAACATAACGTTTTAGCGTAAATGGGATACATACTCGGCCGGAATGTCACATTTCCGTTTTCCTTAAAACGTACGTTGTGTTGTGGGCTATAAATTCCGGTGTTTTTATAGGAACCTCGCCAACTTATTTCGAAATAACTAAACGGTAAATTGGAATGAGGAGTATTGCCAAAGTACAATATCTCAATTTCGTTCAGGATATCCCCATAAATAATATTGTATATAAATCACGATTACATTATGGTAACCAATAAAACAAATTGAAACGTCCCTCCGCAACGAATCACGAACTGGCTCTGCCATTTGATCGATCCCTCTTAACCAATAAGTCGTAAAACATATATACCACTTTTTGTTTCAGTGTCATTTCAGCAGTCAAGTATACATGCCATTAGGAGTTTTTCTGCGAGTTTTCCTGGGAGACGCGGTTCTGTGGCCACCGCCCTTATGTTGGGCAACAATTCCAAGACTAATTTGCACAGTACAAAAGCACAAGAAAAACGAAGTACAAATTCGAACACGCCAGATGACGACGAGAGAGTGCCAAAGCGACGCCTGCTCAGAAGCGATACTCAGGAAAAACAGAACCCCGTCAGGTAAGACCATTATCATAATGTATTATTAGAGTTTCTCTGTAATATACACAGAGAAATCCAGAATTATTGAAGGTGATATAATGCTATAGGTACATATTATACAGGGTGATTTTGAATAGAGTACCACAAACGCTACTAGATGCATCTAGATGAAAGAATAAGGCGAATGAACTAACTATACCTTAGACAAAAGATGCACTCCTGAGGCATTACAGGGTCTTGAATGTTGTAGAGCCAACCAATATTTCCTTCAATTTATCTTGAACGATGTGGCGTAAATCATTTATATTTGGTACAGACATTTGTCCAATGCGGACACATACTTTCTATTAATATTGTTTAAATATATCCACCATAGGTGCTGCTGTCGACTATAGTCTGTTTAGAAATGAAAGAGAGTAATAAAAGCTCATTATGTATGCAAATCGTAAATAAATGTAGTACTGGTGCTTATATTCAATATTTTTATATTATGTATTTTCCGTATAGATGAGGTCTACTTTTAACAAAACTTTGTGCGATCGGACTGTACTAAATTGTAGCAGGTAGCTAAAATTTAATCACCGACAATCTGCCTTTGTCTATGCCGCTTCAATTTCTCGGTCCATTTCTCTTATAAGTAAACAATATAAAAACAGCTTTTCAAAACATGAGGCTACTTTAAGCATCATAACCGGATTAAGAGGGTTTTTAGTAATTCAAATAAAATTATTCAATATTATTATCAAAATATTTATTTAAATTTAATGAATAGACTTTTATTCCACACAAAAATATATGTATTTTGAAAATTCAAATTATGGTGAGTAAATGTAGTGTTGTATAAATGTACAATAAAGAAAATAAAAAAGTAGGTATATTAAAATTCATCCTCTGAATATTCTGATGAATTATCTTCGTCTCCTAGATTGATAACGATAGGTTCCACAGTAACGTCAATTAAATTATCGAGTTCCCACATTTTCTCCTCTTCTTTTTGTACATGATGTATACATCTTTGCCAGTTATCTGCAGTTACTCGTTCCAAGGAATTTTTTAACAAAATTTTCACGTCACTTAATTTAAACGTCGTATTATTTCGCGCTACATCTCCTTTTACCTGCGCCCGGACTAATTCGATTGGGTTAAGTTCACAGTGATAAGGTGGTAACCGTAGTACCGTTATTTGGCGATTTGTTGCCATTTCATCGATAACATATTTTTTCTGATCTTTATTAAGATTGACAAGTGTCAAAAGTTCCATTTTCACCATATTTGTTTCAAAACAAATGTTTTTTCCGGATAACCATTGAATTATATCGACTTTCCTCCAAGCAGTCGTAGGCGTCCGCTCGGTCTGCCGTGAATGGTATTATCCATGACAATTACAGACCCCGGAGGAATAAGATCCAACATCTGTGTAAAATACTCTTCGAAAACATCTGCGTTCATGTCTTCGTGATAGTCACCTGTATTTTTAGATTCAAATAAAAGTAAACCGCCAGCTACAAAACCACTGGCACTACCTATATGTGTCACTATTAATATTCGCCCTTTACCTGAAGGTGCCTTGAACCCTGTTGAAAGTCCATCCAAAAATGCTTGTTTTACATTTTTATCTTGCCATACTTTTGTATGTATATCCCTCGTTGACCCAAGTTTCGTCTAGATAATAAATATTCCTCCCTTCGTCAAGGAATTTTCTAATTGATCTTAAGTAGGATCTTCGCCAACAAATAATTTCATCTTTATCGATAAGAACTGACTTCCTGTTCTGCTTTTCCCAACAAAAATTCAACTCTCGTAAGACGGCTCATAATTTGCTTCTACTGATTTTTGGCAAATCGTTGTCCTCTGAAAGTTCACTTAAAATTTTGTTTAGCGTTGGTGTATTTCTTTTTTTAAAATAAAATGAGTGTACTTTAGTCACTAAACACAAGTCGAATTTTACTCTACTGCACTAGCACGTCTTGGTATATTCAGCTCTAAGACTGGATTGATCTGTCACAATACACTGGCTCCTGCCCTATGATGTATCCAGTAAAATATACTAATGTACACCAATTACCTGTTAGCATTAGTGTTACCCGATAATTACCTGAAACAAAATATTAGCACGCCCATGGCCGGTTCTTATCTCTGGGTTTTATTACTCTCTTTCATTTCCAAACAGAGTATACATGCAACATATTACTCCAAAGAATTTTTCACCCTGTATGAAAATACATACCTTATTTACATTTTCGGACGTAATAACTAAAAACAAACATTTTTTCTCTCTTTTATTTTCGATAAACGCGATAGTTTTTTTAGATAATTTACGAAAAACAAACTTCGGAAATTTTACAGCGCCAATGGTTGCAGTCAGGTTGCAGTAATACAAAAACGTCAACATACCACTCATTAATAGCTAAAGGAAAACGCTTTTCTGGTAAAGTAATTTTAATAAATTTATTTTGAAGAAACAGTAGTATTCGTTATGTAACAAATCAAATTATTTTACGTGTCTAATTTAAATAATAAATTTCAATTTAAAACTACCTACTGTAATCTCGAATGTAATATTAAGGAACATAACGTTATTTTAAAGTAAAAAGTTTCTAAAGAATATTTTCAAAGTAGTTCCCATTTTTCTGTAAACACAATCTAACACGACGATTCAAATTATGACTTACTCTTGCAAATATTTCTGGGTTGTTACGAATATCGTCAGCTGCGAGAAAGATTTTTTGACGCAATTCTTTAACAGTATTAACAGGAGTAGCATGAACAAGACTTTTCAGTTGTCCCCATAAGAAATAAGCAAGTGGGGTAATATCCGGTGAACGGGCAGGCCAACTAACGGGTGCATCGACACCACGACTTATAAAACGTCCCGGAAAATTTAAATTCAACCATTGCCTGACAGCTAAGGTACTATGTGCCGGGGCCCCGTCATGCATGTACCACATAACTTGTCGTACACCTAGTGGTATATCCTCCAAAAATATTGGGAAATTTTCATTTAAAAATCTAAAATATTCAAGAGCTGTCAGTCGACAGGGATGAATAAATGGACCTATTAGAGCATCTCCAATAATTCCTGACCATACATTTACACTAAAATTGTGTTGAAATCTTGATGGACATATTTCATGGGGGTTTTTGTCTTTGAAAACATGCCTCATCGGTGAACAAAATATGAGATAAAAAATTTAAGTCGTGTCTGGACATGTTAAGATACCACTGGCAAAAAAACAATCCTTGCAGGTAAATCATTTGCAGTTAATTCTTAAACCGGCTGGTGGTGAAAAGAGCGTAAAAGGTTATCAAGAATCAAGTTCCAAACAAGGCTTTGCAAAAGCTTTGCTTTGTACTGTGTAGCCAGTCTTCTTGTACTTGTTTGAGGATTTTCTTCTAAATTGATAAGTATAGCTTCTTCAAGGTTTACATTTCTGATATACCGTCTTTGTCCATTACCCTCACGCTTAGGTTGAATTTGGCCAGTTTCTCGCAACCTTCTTTCCACAGCTGAAAAAGTTTGCCTGTGAGGAACCCGGCGATTTGGATATCTCTAATGGTACAATCTTGTTGCGGCAGCACAATTTTTGTGACATTCAAAAAATACTTGGAGCATATCAATATACTCATTGTTAGTAAAATTTGCCATAATTAAACAACTATTATTTGAAACCGTTGATGACACTGACACATCAATACAAAAATAGTTTACTCAGCAAATTTGTTACCGATTTATCAGGAGCAACTATGATGTTGGCGAAGTATTCCCATACTTATCAATTTAAGCAGGAAATTCTCAAACAAATCGTGTTAGATTGTGTTCAAAGGAAAGTGGGAACTACTTTCAAAATATTCTTTATAAAATTTTTACTTTAAAATAACGTTATATTGTAGTATTACATTCGAGATTACAGTAGGTAGTATTAAATTAGATATTATTACTTAAATTATAGTAGGATCGTATTCGATGCAAAGTAGAGCAAAAAGTTGTCGGTCTTTTATCAAAGTAATATCGTGTCATCATTTTTAGGAGGCGTAAGATAAATCATTTCAAATTTAAAATGAAATTCAATGTAAAATCTGAAATACCGCTGCATACGCACTGTGTTCTGGTAGTAGCTGTAGTCGCCCAGGTGCATCGAGTGTACGAACTGGTCGGTTATACGTCAAATACTAACATGGCGAGGTTTGCCGTCAATTAGAGAGCGCTTCCAAAAAACAAGTAAACAACAGTGGCGCGTACAGAGGTAAAATGTAGTACATATGTGGAATTTAGGAAACAAATTGGATTTATAATAAATTACATTTAAAATTAATAGTTTATGAGAATAAAGGAATTTTTGTAGGAACAAGGGTGCCAGACCTGAACTGATCCCCTCGTCCCTTCATAATGTATAAAGAAATTATTCAATTTGAAAAACCCTTAAAAGCGTACTTCATTGGTTCCCTTGACAGGCAATGATTTATTACTTTGCATCGAATATGATCCTACTATAGACACTTAAAATAATTTTATTTGTTACATAAAGAATATTCCTAAATAAATTTATTAAAATTACTTTACGAGAAAGGCGTTTTTTTTGCTATTACAGAATTGTGTGTTGATGTGTTTGTTACTGCAACCATTGGCGCTGTAAAATTTCCGAAGTTTGTTTTTCGTAAATTATCTAAAAAAAACTATCGCGTTTATTGAAAAATACAAGAGAGAAAAAATGTTTGCTTTTAGTTGTTACGTCCGAAAATGTAAATAAGATATGTATTTTCATACAGGGTGAAAAATCTTTGGAGTAATATGTTGCATGTAGTCGACAGCAGTGTCTCTGGTGGATATATTTAAACAATATTAATAGAAAGTATGTGTCCACACTGGACAAATGTCTGTACCAAATAAAAATGATTTGCGCCACATCGTTCAAGATAAATTGAAGGAAATATTGGTTGGCTCTACAACATTTAAGAACCAGTAATCCCTCAGGAGTGCAACTTTTGTCTAAGGTATATTTAGTTCATTCGCCTTATTT